CTCTATCTTCCTCAAAGCAGGCTGTTAATAGACTTATTTTTCTGCCACCTGCCTCAGAAATTTTCATGAGGTGATGAGCAGTAAAGCCATTTCCTGAAGGAACAGAAATTCTGAAACATGGAAAAGTAGAGACAATTTGTAATTTTATTACAGAATTTTAACAAAATCAATATCATGTAATTATTTAAATTCTGCAAAAACCAAACATTACAGGTAATTTGATCTTAGTTCATTATTTGGCTCAGGAGCGAACAGAATAATTCCAATACATTATGAAGTTACAGAGGAAGAATGAAAGAGGCAGAATGCAGATGTGATTAGCTATTAGCGTGAACTTCAATGAGAGGAAGTTGACAGATTATCCTACATTTGAATACTCAAGAAACTTTATGGGCATAGTCTTTAAAAATATAGTATAACAAACTATTCCTATAGATGTAAATAAAGGGGATCTTTACAGACACAAAATACACACTGTGGCATTAATATAAAAGTTTTTAAAACTGTGAAACTAATCAAGAGCTATGGGTGTTAGAATTGGATTTCCATTTTTATGCATAGTAAGTGGGAGGAGGCATGATCAGAGGGGTCTTTTCCAGTATTATTAATTTTATTTTGTGATCTTTGTGATGCATATACGTATGTATTGATTGTAAAAATTAATTATGACTTGCATAATTTTCTTTATATATTATGTACTTTATAATGAAATTTTTAAGCTGGGTGCAGGGGCTCACACATGCAATCCCAGGGGTTCAGGAGGCTGAGGCAGGAGGATCAAAAATTCAAAGTCAGCCTCAGCAACTTAGTGAGATCCTAAGTAACTTAGTGAGATCCTGTGTCTAAATAAAAATATTTAAATGGGGCTGGGGATGTGGCTCAGTGGTTAAGAGCCCCTGGGTTCAATCCCTTAAAACAAAATGAACAAAGAGTTATACAACAGCAAGAAACTTTTTAAGAATTGAAGAAGAGGATTTGAGGGATGTAGATTATTCATGTGTCTGATCTATCAAGTTTTTTCAGTATTAACAGTTTGTATTAGTAATTTGTGTAAATATTGCATTTATAAGAATATATGCATTACTTGATAATGATAAAAATTTCAAGAGATAACGTTTTACCCTGGAGTTGCGTGCTTCAACATGCATATATAGTTTAAGAAATTATTGCAAATAGTGCTAAGATGACATATAAAAGAAGTAAAAATAAAAAAAATCTATATTTGTAAAAATAGCATAAAGTATACACAAAATGGTAATCACCAAGTCATGATTTTTTCAACTTCTTGAACTTGAAGGAATTATATAGGAATCTTTACATTTGCTCTAAGTATTTACTTCAAAATCTGAAGCAGTGTTCATGAATATTATGACCAGTTGGTGAATGGGTGTACTATTTGTCTTATACTACTTCTGCTTGAAACTTATAAACATTTTTTAACATTCTAATATTTTTTTCTGACAAAACAACAACAAATATACAAAAACTGAAAAAGGAAGTTGTTGTAAACCAAATACTTTCATTAATATTCATAAAATGTAGTATAAGTCTTAAAAGTAGTAATGTATAAAGAAGGATCAAACTTACATACCATAGCAACACCTGCATCATAGTTTTTATTGCATATTGTTCCAGGAAATGTTGCTCCCATATATTTAGGATGTTTCCTGTAACTACATCATTATAGTATTGCTTTTTTATTAAGTTTGCTATTCGGAACATTATAATCTTATATATTAAGTTAAATATCTCATAAAATTTGGAAAATGACTTTGTAAACATACTAAGTTCCAATCTGGATAACACCTAATACATTATACAAAATGCTCAAATTATTGAAAACTGTCTCATTTAAATACCAACTTTCCTCACCTAAATCCTAGATTTGATGTATTTTATTATCTCAAATTCAACTTACTTACATTTATTATACATTCACTGTTTTGAATTTTTAACTTGAGGAAGAAGCAAACTTACCTGTCCTAAAGAGAAGCTTTTATTTAAAATTAAATTATTACACATTTCACACACACACACACACACACACACACACACCCCAAATCCATTTGTTTGTTTTGATTTGGGGGATTTTTGATACTGAGGGTTGAACACAGGGGTACTTGACCACTGAGATAAATCCCTAGTCCTTTATTTATTTATGTATTTTTAAATGTTAAGACAGGGTCTCTCTAAGTTGTCCAAGCTGCCCATGAACTTGTGATCCTCTCGCATCTACATCAGCCTCTTGAGTCTCTGGGATTATGCATATACCCCACATACCAGGTCCCACAAATCCTTTTTAGTTGAAAACTAGACATGAAATATACTAACATAAATGAAGTCACTAAGATGGGAAATTTAACTGAACAGTGTCCTTTTTACATCCTTAATAAATTACAAATAATGGTGATATCATAAAATGATATGAAATGCAGATTATTTTCATATTAATTGTACTTTAAAACACACTGATAGAAAATTAAGTGCTATTACTTTTATTTTAATGATATTTCCAACTACATCATCACCTCCCTGGCAAAAGGTATACACATATACATATTTGTGTGTGTATACACACACACACACACATACATATGTGTATATATATATATATGTGTGTTTATACATATATATATATGCACAAACACACATATATGGGCTTATATATAACATACATATATAAACATTTTTAAAAGCTCCTATAGAAAATTGAGGAACACAATATATTTACCAATTTATTAACTTAATGAAATTATTATGCATTTGTCTTTAATAATGTAGAACATTGTGCTTACATAAGTAAATGAGCTATGTCATGGGGCTGTAGGATAAGATAGTTCCGTTTCCATGCTAAAAATCTTTGTAATACATCATCAGCATCCCCACTGGTAGAAATTTGGTTTTTATGTGACCACAATTCCAAGGAAGACAGCATAACAGTCAATTTGAACTGGGTAAACATCTAAAAATAAGATTCAGGATATATTTTTCAAGCACATAATCAATACATTAAAAGAGTACATAGAATATAAAAAGTTCATTTGAGTATTTTGAGTATTAAGTTAATAATAGGTATTCAAGTCATTAATTGGCCAGGATAAAATGAAAAGTATTTTCAATTATTTTTTCATAAAATTGGAAATATGAAAAGTTTAAAACTTACAGTGTTGACAAGCCCAATAATCTGGACAATTTTCTGTGTTACAGCCATTATTTCAGATCCCATATAATCAAACTGAAAAACAAGTTTCAGTTTTTAGGATTTTTTAAAAATACAAAGATAGCAACTTTTTAGATGGTGAACCTATTTTGATGATACCAGGCAGGAAAACAATTGTTTGTGTCACACATTTTAAAACATGCTACCAGAAAGATAATAAATTTATAATTATATAAAACAACAAAGATAAAGCATACATGGACATTTAAAATGGATTCCTGTTTTATATGGTAGTGACACTTCATGACCAATGTAAATCCATATCAAGTATAACCACAATAATGGGATCCTAATTGGAACAAAGTATACTTATTCTACATATGTATTTTCTGCTAACATGGAAAAATAATTTAAAAAGATACTCTCAAGTGGTTAAAGAATACTAAAACAATTCTGCAGACTTCTCCCTATCATAGAGGAACTTCTTGAGTCAGGCATTTTCTATGAAACAAAGTATGTCTCACTACATGCTTGGGAAATTTAAGAAGAGTAAATAAACAAAGAAACAGAAATATTAATTTAAATTCAAAAACCTATCTATAGCAAGAAAGGCAGAAGTCACCAAGATGTGTAACGAAGGAGTCAATAAGGTTTACAGAGAACAAAGAGAAGAAAATACAAAAGGACACAAGAAAGATAATGCCCTTTATTTTTTGCAGATTCTGGAGAAGATATAGTTTCATATCTGGGGCTTAATGAATATCCTTCATCATTTCATTTTTTCACTATGGAAAATGTTTAATACCTCTGTCAAAATCACCAATCTTACAAGTTGAAAATAAGGATTTCTACCAAGTATAGCTGTATATATTCCTGGATGTTGGTTCACCATTAGAATAGTTAACAAATTAGGTCCACTTCTTACAGAGGTTGAAAAAACAGCAATGTCAAAATAACCATGTATTTCCATTGCTTGAATTTAAAATTAAATATACTCTAGGTACAATATTTTCTCTGTTATACAAAAGATATTGCATCTGGTAGATGGTAGATAGATGAAAAACATACAAATAAGAAAAATACTAATTTGTAATAATCTGTAAATACTTAACCTTATCAAATAGTAGATAAATAGTTTTCTACATTAGATGTCATAACAACTCAAGTGGTATTGTGAGGTCCAAAAGTTCGTAAGCTGTTTGTCAATATGTAAGAGAAACACAACAGTGCTCAATCAGTAGAAAATGTTCCTATCATCAAAATATGTTGAACAAAATTGAGACAATTAAAAGAAGAAATTCAGTGAGATCAAACTCTCATCATTTTGTAATGACAGCAGGTGTCCTTCAGACTTCTAGGCCTGAATCACACAACTTTAACAAGCTGATAAAACCTAGCTATTTCTCTAAATATCTTTTCCATGAATTTTTTTCTCAACAAGTACTACATCTCTCCCTATTCTATAGTTTTATTTGATATACATTTCCATGGATGTACATAATCTATCATAGTGTAATTCTCTTGTTCCATATCTGTACCTTCCATTAACAGGTGCACTCTTCATCTGCAGATGTAGTTTAGTGGTAGAGCATTTGCATGGTGCGCACAACAATCTGGGTTCATCCCCAGGATCTCACACACACACACACACACACACACACACACACACACACACACACACAAATAAAAGAAGGAAGCCAGGTGCAAGCTAGTAATCCCAAACTACTTGGGAGGCTGAGGAAAGAGGACTACAACTTCAAGGCCAGCCTAGGCAATTCAGTGAGACCCTGTCCCAAAGTAAAAAGGGCTGCAGGGTGCAGCTCAGGGTAGTTTTCCCTTGGGTTCAATCCCTAGTACCATGTCTGGGCTGCACACACACACACACACACACACACACACACACACACACACACACATATACACACACACACACACAAAGAAAGAAAAATGTGAGTTCTTTAAGGAAGAATTTCTAATGACTGTGTGCTTACCACATAGTTGACAAAAACCATGTGTGCTCAAAGAAAACAATATGGCCAGAGTAGTTGAAGAGAAGGGAAAGATTGTCACAGGTGAGGTCAAAAAGATACAGGCTGAGCTGGGGTTAGGAGAGGCAGGTGTGTAGGACAGTCTAGGATAGTCTGAGCTTTTACTCATAATGGGAGGTAAAGACCACACATTGTTTATCTAACACTCATAATGTAAAGTGACTTTATTTGGAAATACTGAAAAATTCCATGATGACTACAAAATTACCATCAAATTTTAATTCAGAGGAAGGAAGGGTAAGAAAAAGAAAGCAAAAGAAAAGAAGGAAAACATTACTTACCAAAGCTTTTTCCACTACGATGTGCATTTCTAAATACTGGGGTAATAGTTTTGAAATAAATTTTTCCTGAAAAAACAACAAAAACAAATGCATTATCAAATATCATATGTATCAAATTTGTTAACAGCAAAAGGTGGGATACAAAGAGGACAAAAATTTTAGACATAAAAATTAATAGTAAAGTATAAAATTTCACTTCAAAATATTTTAGGCATGAAAGATTTACAGTAATCCTGCTAGAGTAATGTATTCTCTTAGGACTGCATGAAAAAGAGAGTTTGTTAAAAGTCATCAGTTCTTTGTCTTCATCTGAAGACCTGTCTACACTGCCAGGTCACACTTGAGAATTCTTCACTGACTATCCTCCTAAAGACTATGGTAACATCAACTATGGCTCACTGAGAATCTTTCATTTATTCAGTAGGAAAGTATAGGAAATTATTTCTTCTACAATCTTCCAACACTTGAGAATGTATGGTCTACACAGAAATTCAGGTGAATAATGTTGTTTGCCTATTAACCATGTGGGTACACAAGAAAAAACACAGTGCAAAATGTCAGAAATTATTCAATCATTGCAGAACATAGGTCATGTGTGGTTCACTTGATAGGATGTGTCCTCCCCACCCACCCCCTTTCTCCCACCATCTCCATATATATATTCCCCCTCCCCCAATACTTGGGATTGTATCCAGGGCACTCTAGCACTAAGTCACATCCCCCAAGTCCTTTTTGTTGTTTTCATTTGGATACCATGTCTTCCTAAATTGCTGAGGCTGGCCTCAAAATTGTGAACCTCCTGCCTCAGCCTCCCAGGTCAGTGGCATTGCAGGTGTACCCCACTGTGCTTGACCACGACACAATATTCTTGATCGTCTCAAGACGGTCATCTCTATATCATCCATTTATTATACCACATGTTAGCACTTCACATTTTTCTCCTTTTCTAATGTAATCATTTAATGCTATAAAATTTCTTCTTACTGTTCTCTGTCACACAATTTTTGAGCTCTTTTATTTTTGACTTATTTCAGTACATATTTTTACTTTCTTTCAAAACTTCCTTTTTGACCAACCTATTACTTATGAGGGTTTTGTTTTGCATGAAATATCTTTCATGTCCTTTTCTCTTTAACCTGCCTATTTCTTCCATTTAAGAAAATTTGTCATTACTTTTCTATTATATTGTAAATACCTTTATATTGTATTATAAATAGTCATTACTTTTACATAAACTTTGCCAATCTTAGCTTTTACATTGGTATATTTAGACCATTCATACTTAAACTTATTTTTGATGTTGGGGCTTAATTAGCTTACCATGTTACTATTTGTTTGTTCTCTCTTTTTTTCACTGTTTTAATATTCTTTTCATTTTTTTCCTACTGTTGGTTACTTTAAAATGTTGATAACTGATTTTTATTTATCTGTTGTTAAGAATATGTTTGTGTATGGACTTTTTTCAGGGAGACAGCTCTAGTGATTGGATCATGTAACATGATATTTCTACTGGAATTGACAATTTATTAGTTTGAGTAAGATACAGAAAACTTACTCCTCTTCTTTGAGATATTTTACCTTCTCTTTATAATGTAGTTGTCTTAAATATATCTGCTAGGTACTCTGAAAAAACATCAAACAATGCTATCATTTTTACTTCAAGCATCTTTATAACTTCTAATTATTTTCTATCATTTTCTATTTTCTGTTTCTCTGCCAAGACTTTGTGTGTGTGTGTGTGTGTGTGTGTGTGTTTGTGTGTTTTGTGTTGCTGAGGATGGAACCCAGGGACTACTGCATGTTAGGCAAATACTCTACCACTAAGGTACACTCCCAGCCCCATATTTTTAACCATTTCAAAGTATGTTCATAATTTCTTGTCTGAACTTTCTGTCAACACCTGTCAGATATTCCAAATTTTACATCATTCCATTCTTGACATTTGCTGATTATCTTCTCTCATTCAAGTAAAAATTTTCCCAATTTATGGTGTAAAAAATATTTTTCTATTGTTTTCTGGGTGCAGTCAGTATATAATGAGTCTCTGGATCTTACTTAAATGGTTTGGCATAACTTCTCTGATGCTGCATGGGTGAAAACAGCATTTGCTGCCTCATTACTGCCACTAACTCAGCCTCCATGGGTGCCCTAAGCCTCCATTGATACCATCTAGCTAGAAGGGGGCTTATGACTGTTTCTACTACACATGTGGCCTTCAATAATACTTCTTGGAAGTGAGGCTTATTACCAACTGAGGTACACTCCCAGCCTTTTTCTAATGTAAGCATTTAATGCTATAAGAGATGGCAAAAACCAGTGGTTCCTACTCAGCTTTCTGACATACCTCAGAGCAGGGAATGGAAGTCTATGCTCCCTATACAGTTTCCAGTGACACCACAGAGAAAGGGGCACTACTACCAACAAGCAGAATCAAAGTACAGCGCTGTACTTAACCTGCCGTGATACTATTTGTGCATATACAAGTAGACATCTTTGCCTGAAGGTGAGAATGCAAGTTTCCCCACTTGGCCATACTGAAAGAAATGAAGTGGAGAGAGGCACAATTTTTTTTCAGCATTCTATGGAATAAGATGGTTTTTCTTTGGAAGCTTTTGTTTTGCCATGTTGAAATTTTTCTGGTACTTTTAACAAAGAGCAAATTTTTCTTTGTAATTTTTGTTGCTTTTACCTACATTTGCAAGCTGTGGGCTTCTCCTGCATTCAAGGTAAGAGAGGGAAAAAAAGTGAAAACAAAGGCAGAGAGCTCACCACTGTCATACTGTTTCTTGTGTATAGAGGTGCCCTGCTTGTTTGCTTCCTACTATTTGGCTTTAGAGTTCGTAGGTTTGTCTGGCATAATAATGTTCAGGATTTTTAAGGTATAGAGAAAATTAGAGATAGTGTATCTATCTTGTCTATATCCATAGTCATTAAAAATTTTAGATTATTTAATGACAAGTCTTAATGATTATTGAAATTAATTTTGAATTTTAAGTATCTGATAATACTGACATAAAACTGATATTCATTAACTGTCAGTTTCTTTTTCAGCTAACAGTCATAATGCATTTGGAATTGTACGTTCAGTTGTTTTCCACTCAAGACTGAATTTGAACAATGAGCAAAGTGTTTGAAATATAATTGATATACATAAGAAGACTTGACTAAATTAGTGATATGGAAAGGAATATTCTAGTATTCTATAAATTCTAGAATCATTTTTAGGCAAAGTATTCAAAAATTCTAACATTAAGTATATGCATATGCTACTTTAGCATAGTTCTGCTTTGTTATCTTCACATTGTCAAGTAGAACATTCTGGCTTCCATGATGGAGAGTTAAGTACTGACAAATACATACAAGTCGCACAGCTATCATCAACTTTCTTGAGAAACAGAATTATACTAGGCATTTTGCTTTCATTTTGATTTTTAGCTCACTGCTGCAAAAAAAATCCTTTTAGATTTTTAATTTCAGATCAGGGATATAAAAAACTGAAAAAAAAAGCATAGCTTTCATATATACAATAGAGCAAAACCTGGAGAAACTACATTTTAGAGATTTTTTTCAATACTTGGAATTTAACCCGGGTTCTCTACTACTAAGCTATAACCCTAGTCCTCTTATTTTGGTTTTGGTTTGTTTGTTTTAATGTTGCTGAGGCTGGCCTTGAACTTGTGATCTTCCTGCCTCAGGCTCTCTAGTAGCTGAAATTACAGGGTCAGCCATATTAGTGATTTTTATTCAATCTTTTAAGAGCAGAAATTGCAGATTAAGATATTAACCTAATGGGAAGATAGAAATGCCCCTGCACAGCGTAACAGGAACCAGACATTTACATACCTGCTGCTGAGGACACCAGGTGCCATGTAAGTTGGTAAATATATCAGGTAGAATTTGGGACTGAATTTCTAAAGCTCGAGCTTCTACAAACCTAAACGTCTATGAACTATAAAGATAGTTGATTTCTTAGTTACTTATAGATGTTTTTTTCCCCCTAGGAATTCTATAGGCTACTAACAATAAAGAATGGAAAAAATGAGGGCTGAGGTTGTGGCTCAATGGTAGAGCACAAGACTTGTGCTGTGAGGCACTGGGTATTGTGTCCATCTAGAACTAAAAAAATATTTTTAAAAAAGATGTTGTTTTACTCAGTTTTTTTGCTGCTATGACTAAAGGACCCAATCAGAACAACTGTACAAGAGGAAAAGTTTATTTGAGGGCTCAAGGTCTCAGAGATTCTGGATCCATTTCTTGGGGATCAAGACGTGGCCGAACATCATGGTGGAATGTAGAGTAGAGGGAAGCAGCTCACATCATGGTCATCAAGAAGTAGAGAGAGTCCTCTACCTGCCAGATACAAATATATGTATCCCAAAGCCACACCCTAATTCCCACCTCCTCCAACCACACCTTACCACTTCAGTTACCACTCAGTTAATCCCTGTCAGGTACAGTGTTGTACTTTGATTCTGCTTGATGGTAGTAGTGCCCCTTTCTCTGTAGTGTCACTGGAAACCATATAGGGAACATAGACTTCCATTCCCTACTCTGAGGTATGTCAGAAATCTGAGTAGGAACACTGATTTTTGGCACCTCTTAGTTGGTAACAAGCCTCACTCCCAAAAAGTATTATTGAAGGCCACGTGTAGTAGAAACAGTCATAAGCCCTCTTCTAGCTTGGTGGTATCAATGGAGGCTTAGGGCATTAATCCTGATAGGGATTAATTCATTGATATGGTTAAGACTGTCACAACCCAATCATTTCTCCTAGGAACCTTCTTTCATTGTCTCAGACGTGAGCTTTAAGGGGACACCACATCTCAATCATAACAGATGTCATCTGGTGCTGGCTGGAAAGGGAGAACATCAAAATCTATTTCCAGAATCTATTTCCTCTATATAAAATTCCCTATAATAGAAAAGGATTAATCACCAGGGGAAAGGGCTAAGATGTTTGTTAAGTCTGAAGATACTGGTGAAACCCATTACTGGGGGTGGAAAAATGTTTTACCTTGGCTGGGAGGGAAAGAAATACTTTCTAGATCCAGCATTATAGCTGAGAAGAAGAAGGGTAGGGATATTTGTGGATTATATCCCCCAAATCAAAATTCACAGTGCCTGCTAACACTGAATCTCAATCATAACACAAAACACTGCCCGTGTTCTCTGCCTCATTTCAAACCTGTGTTCTATGCTCAAATATATAAAGAAAAAAAACAGTAAAGATAGCTGAAATCTCTAGAAGACTCAGATTTTGTCTGCAATAGAACAAAACAAAGCCAAGTAGAGAAACCCAAAGACAAGCAAGAAACAGGCATCTCTATAGCAAATTGTTGTTCAATGTAAGCAAGATATCCCTAGGGAAATGTGAAGAAGCCTGTGGTACAATGGAGAAGCTACAACAACAACTAAGACTAAATATCCCCAATCGTCTTACTGGATAACAATACTTTCAAACTAAAGACCTAGGCGAGAAAGAAAGTATACTCATCTCCAGTCCAAAAATTATTACTTCCTTATGCAATATGTCTAGTTTTTAAAAGAAAAAAATAAGGATGATTACAGATAAGCAAGAAAAAACACAATCTGAAAGATTCAGTAATCATAAAAACCAAACTGATAATGATACAGATGTAGAACCAATCAGAAATGGGATTTAAAACAATTTAAATTAATATTTTAAATGGTCTAGTAGAAAAGACTGTACAACATGCAAGATCAGATACTCAAATTCAATACCAAATACTGTTAGGTAGCAGTTTTTCATGAGTAGTGGGGTCAGGAGTTTAAGAAAATACTTAATACTGAGCCAATTAGTTAATTAACGGCCCTGTCTCAGTGGCACCACAAGGTATGATAAGATAACTATTTAAATACCCTTTCCTGATCTCATAAATCATTTTTCTTACAACAGGAGGAAGACTGATAAATGCATGAGGTAAGAACCAAAGGGGATGGGTATACTCACTCAAAAGGACCTAATTGCTTAAACATCTAAATGAGACCTGCTCAAACATCATAGACCAGAGATTCCCGACTTGGGAAAGGAGAATGATTCTGACCAGAGCTCACTAAGCATAAATTCTATAAAACAAATTCTAGTTAGAACCTGTCATCTGGATCAGGTTGACCAAGAGTTGCCCTTAGATTATTCACATATGATATTAGTTTTATGATATCACAGTAAGTTATAGCTTTTCTCTCCCTCCTTATGGGTTTCTCTTAAATACCTATGAGCTACAGAACATGTAGTAAAGGTTTGGAAATCCAGAACTGAGAGGTAATACTCACGGCACCCTCTGAAAACTTCCCCTAAAAATCCCAATAAAACTAAAGAACAAAGGAGAAAATCATTGCTCTCCTCTTCAAGATGATCTACCCTGTCCCTTGGGAGTGACTTTGTGCCTTTTTTCTTAATAAATTTTGCTGCACTTGTACTACTTGGCATATCTTAATTGAAATCATCTCCTGCAAGAACACCAAAGCCAAGAAAATGATGCAAATCTCTGTTAATAATACTTCCAGCATAACCACCCAATACAGAAAGAGGTTGTCGGTGTCTATCCTCATGTGTCTACAAATGGTACTTTCTCAATAAGAACTTTACATTTTGTTTTTATAAAGAGGTGTTGTTTACCTTACAATTAGAGAGGAACTAGAAAATAAAAAGGGGTTCTCTGTGCTTGCTTCTTAATCTTAAATGTTATTTAAAATTTTCTCAGAAACTTCTAGGCAAAATTCCTGAGAATCTGAAAGCAAACAGTGGAAGTTTACCAACAATTACAACTAATATATAACTTACAACAAAGCTTAAAAATGACTCACAAGGAAAATAGAATGGTGTGTTAATGGATATAAACTATAAATTCATGTAAGGACAAAAGATGTAGAATACAAGTTTTGGAGAAAACAAACAAATAGAACTACTAAACATCTGTGGAACCCTACACTATACAACTGTATAATACAGAGAAACACACCCACTAAAATCACTGTCAGACATGATGAAATTCAACTGAAAATCAAAATCAAAAGTCTACCTAGAAAAATTCCAAAATACATATACTTCTAAATGTTCTATGGGTTAATGGAGGAATTATAAAACACCTTATAATAAAACATTATAATTACATGCCACATAGAATTCATGAAATGGTGAAATGAGTCAAAATGGGTAAGGAACTATAAATTCTAATATAAAATCAAGAGAACCCACAATAATTGTTAAACTCAAAATTTTCAGAACTTTATAAATTAACCACTGCTTATAGAATTCTAGAAAGCGGGCTTTCTTTCTTTCTGTTTTTTTCCTTCAAGAAATGGATTGATCTGGATAAAAGCAGTAAATTTGTGGGATTTAAGACCCATTACTGAGATAACAGAATAGGAAACTGCACACAATAAAGAACAAAGACAGAGAACAAGTTCAAAAATTTCCAAGGCAAATAATTACAACACATAGCCAAAAAAAGTGGGATAGGAGGGAGAACTGTATTTCCATAACTACTATTATTTGGACCATCCAGTTTCTGATTTTGGGTGGGATGGATGCAAAAAATCAAACCACTATGGCCTAGACACAAGAAAAAAATAATCAATGCACCTGTCTATGTGGATGGCTAAATGTTGATCTTGAACATACTAGCAAAATTTGTTAGCTATTTTAATTAATTTCAAACAGCAAAAGGAAATCATGTATAAATAACTAATGGAAAGTATTGTAATGATATCTCCTGAGTGAAAATATATCAATTAAAGTATAGAAATGACAAAAAGACATAAATTATGAATTTTAAAATATGCTAACTTAAATATTCATTGGAGAGGCAAAAGAAAGGATTTGAGCAGACAGAAAAAAGATCAGTGGACTTGGAAACATGTCAGTTGATATGATATAATATGAGGAAGAGAAAGAAAAAAAAGAATGAAGAAAAATGAACGGAGCTTCAGAAACCTGGGAGACACTATCAATGTATATTACACATATACATAATGAGAATACCAGAAGGAATCAAGGGAGTTAAAGGGGCAGGAAAATATCTGAGGAATTAATAACCTTAAACTTTCCAAATTTGATAAACAAACCAACAAATATGAATTCACACATTCAGGAAGCTCTATGAACTCCAAGTAGTATAAACATAAAGAAATACACTCAGACACATGATAAGCAAACAGTCATAAAAAAAATCTTGGAAAAAAAACAGGAAGAGGTATCATACTATGCAAGGAAGCCTCAATAAGATTAATAACTCATTTTTCATCAGAGATCATTAAGGTCAAAAGGTGATGGACCAAATGCATTGTGTTGAAAGAGACTGTCAACCAAAACGTCTATAAAAATATTAAGAGAGTTGAATAATGATTTCCTATTTTAGAAATATTTGATTAGGTAGCATGTACAGCTATGTGTCAGAATTCTAAAGGTAATTTTACCAGGCTTTTGGTAGTGATAGCGACTCTGTTCTTCCTGTAATGCTAAATTTATTTCAATAATAAATATTTTCTTTGAAAAAAATAGAAAATAAAGAAACCTTGCATAATATATCAAGAAATGATACAATATAATTTTTCCAAATATTCTATATGAAATCTGTATATTTTATTTCAAGGTATAGAAAGCATAAATAAAATGTAATATTTCTATTCAGCAGCTAAGTAGTTTCTTTTCAGTATTGAAAATATTCTATAGAAGTAATTTCCTAGTATTTTATAACATCAGAATCACCACAGTTACCTGTGAGTTTAAATGAAATTTGTAGAGCTGGTCTTTCTGCCTAATATGGCTGTAATTATCTGCTAAGGTCAGTACATCTGGATTGCCATTTTTCACTTGGTAAATTATATGCTCAAATCTTGCTGAAGATTCTAGTGGTTCAATTCTATAGCTGATATTTTCAAACTGCAGAAATCCTCTGAATAAAAGCAATAATTATAAAATTTTAAAAAATGATCCCATCAAAGCTATATCTGAGATGTTGTGAGAAATTTTTAAAAAATCATACTCAAGCACATGTTTTAAACAGACTTTCTTTTCCTCTTTGGTTTTTGAAATCTACTACTAGTTAACAGATACCAAATCTGCTTTGATTTTTCTCAGAGTTTAAAGAAGTAAATGAGTGAATAATATTTTATAATTTCTGAATAACAACTGCATTCATTCAAGATATATTAACTAGGGTCAAATCCTGCCAGGAATCAAGATATTCACTGAGAATTTCAAGAAAAAAAATTCTTGTTCTTACAGAGGTGAAAGTAATTGATATCAGATACACAGAATGGATGGATATCTAAAGAGATGCATTTCTATGAAAATCATGTTCAGGCAATGCCAGTTTTTTGCACTGACGTGAGTAAATACTGAAAATTAGGTGGCTATCATGAAAAATAAGTTTTTTCTCTAGTCTAGACCTTTCTTCCTCTGATAAATCTATAAGTAAGTTTTCTAGCATCAGTGATGAAAATAACCTCTTTGTACATTTTGTCTATTAAGAATCTTATTAACTTATGTCTGTTAATAAACTGAGGTCATATTGTATGTTCCTATTATATTTAAATAACTAAGGATATTTTCAATAGTTGATATAATAATAGAGATCGCAACAACAATATTTAGAGGGATATTGTAAAGTTTTCTTTTCTGAAAAGTATACATTTCTGCCCAGTGTCCTGGAAATGTCTCCGTTCAGGGCTCCCTAGACTGACGGCATTTGATTGGAACACTTAGATATTAACATTAAGACAAATCAAAGAAAGACCATGTTAAAAGAAAGTTTCAGATTCTTCCTGATTTGTGTCCACTAGCCACTGAGTTTCATTTTAAAGTGAATCCTACTTCCTTGCTATATAAATATTCTCTAAGATGCTCTGACCTGAGGCCAGAGCAGACACTGAGTGTCACAACAGAATGTGGAGATTCTGCAACGTATCCTTGGTAATGACAATGCATCTGAAAAACAGGATTAACAGTTAAATACATGAATTCTTTCTGAATAAAATAAAGTACTATCAAACATTTCAGAAGACTAAAGATATTAAAACATTTTTAATAATTAGAGCATAAATTATACAGAATTATTAATGTAAATGCTTAGGTAAAAAGACATTTGACAACTATCTTCATACCATATGCATATCTATGAGTATTCCTTTGTACCTGGGTTTCATCTTTATCACATGACATTTCCATGTACAACTGTAAACCCTATAACAGGTCAGAGTTATACAGAATAAAACATTTGAGGGCTGGGGTTGTGGCTCAGTGGTAGATCGCTTGCCTAGCACATGTGAGGCACTGGGTTCAATCCTCAGCACCACATAAAGATAAACAAATAAAGATATCGTGTCTATCTACAACTAAAAAAAATAAAAAACATTTGTATCAAACTGTCAATATGGGGCTGGGTATCTGGCTCAGTGGTAGAGTGGCTTTCTAACAGGTACATGGATGGCCCTGGGTTCAGTTCTAGCACCGGGGAGGGGAGGGGGAACCTGTCAGCACAGAACAGAATATCCTAAAGGTAATGATATGTTCATTTCAACAGAAACATATGATAATAAAAGTCTAAGACATCTGACTCTTACCATAACATATGAAGACTCAGATTGCAAAGATCCCGTTTTACTATATGTATAAACCAAAAAATTCTGGGACAGGAATGAGCTAAAAGCAAATCAACAAATAAAGTTTAAGTCATGAATTCAATACAAATATACACATTAGAAAACACAAATATTGAGTGTACACTTTTCATACAATAACAAAATTTGATTAGAGTAATTTTAGTATAGCCATTCACCATTCAGAGAACTGGTGAATCAGAGAAGTCAGGCTTTCTGAACAGTGATGTAGACTGTGAGGGCTCTATTTAAGACATTTTCATTTGTGTCAGAATATATTTTAATTCAACAGATATTTATTACTGTACCTGCTGTATGACAGGCCCTCTTGTACAACCAAGTCTCTGGTCTTTATGACGGTCAGAGACACATACTTCTAGCATGTTATATGACAATAAATACGGCCTGGGTGTTGTGTAGGGGTTAAAAGATCGGCATGGAAAGGCCTGCTGAAAAGATGATTATCTATGTGAAGAACAGGCTATGTGGATTTTCATAAAAATGTTATTCCAGACAGAGTTAAGATAAAATGCAAGGACCTAGAGGCATAGATATGCTTATGTAAACAAAGAACAAATATGGGCAATGCATCTGGAATAGAGTGTAGAAAGAAAAGAGATACTAGGATGATGTAGTATCACAGAGATGAGAAAGCTTTGGAGGATTTGGGCAGAGGAAGATAGTAGCAGAGAAACATTGTAATGGATTCAGTGCTGTGTTGGAAATAATCTACATGGCACATACACCGAAGCAGAGAAACCAGCTTCAAGGCAACTACTGCTATCTAGGCCAGACATGATGGTGGCCTGAACAAGGACAGTAGTAGTGGTGGAGGTTCGATGCTGGATATATTTTGAGATCACATGTGGTTAAATAGTCCACTGAACCCAAAGGAAAATAAAAGAAAAAAGATATCCATGGTTGACTCCAATGTGGTGTTTTTTTTTAATCCTTCCTTTATATTTCTTTCTTTATTTCTGAGAAAATGAAAGAGATGAGTTGCCATTCACTGAGATGATTATGAGAAATATAAATTTGGGAAGAGGAAAATAAATTCATTTTCAACATATTACTGATGTGAATCCTAATAAACATTCATTATCAAATAGTCAAATAAATAAATATGGTGTTCACAGGAGAAGAATAAATTAAGAATATAAATTTGGGAGTATCTAACACATAGGTGGCATTTAAAGTCACAAGACTGAACTAAATAATTAGATGGTTAAATATAGATTTTTTTAAAAAGAATACTTCACCTTGAAATATTCTAAGATTAAACAGATGAGGAGGAATCTACAAAGGAGAGCCATAGATAGAGACAAATAGAAGGAATAATAATCATAGTAGGAGCCAAACAAGCACCAAAAGTTTGTGGTTATTTGGAAGATGAGTGAGGAAAGTATTTTATGAAGGAAACACTAACCAGCTATTCCAAAAGCTGTCAACTGGTTGAGAAAAATGAAGACTAATAACTATCAAAACTCATCAACAACACTGATAATCTCATCAAGTATTTATATAAGACAATAATAAATATATTTATAACAAAATATAAATATTTAAAAAGTACAAATTTGACTCTATTTATATGAGCTATTGAGAAAATATAAATAATGATACAGAAAGTAGATAATTTCATGGAGTTATCAGTGAGACTGGAGATTAACTGAATTGACATGAGAGGTTTTACAAGGGGAAAGAAATATCTTTAAACTTATATAGAGCTTATGACTGCAACACTGCATAACAATTTTAAAAGTATTGAATTACTGTATTGTTTGGAGAATTTTATAAAAATATATTCAATAAGATTGATAAAAAAGAAATATAGGGGCTGGGCTCGCCTCACATGTGCAAGGCCTGGGTTCGATCCTCAGCACCACATAAAAATAAATAAATAAAATAAAGTTTTATATATATATATATATATATATAAACATATATCTGATTAACACATCATAAAAAGGATGTTACTACTTGAATTTCCAAAAACCAATGGATAAGTTAACAATGTCTGTTTTCATTTCTAATATACTTAATATACTTTACTTAACATTCTTGGATTCAATGGCTTATACTTAATTAAAAATTTATACGTATGTAGCTTATTTCTTAATTTGAACATACAAAACTGTAAAAATAAAATAAATGGCCCTCATAGAGCTAATATTCAAAAGCTAATAATGAATCCTAATTTTAAGAGTAGTTCAACAAATAAGTTTATATGATATTGTATTTCTGAATTTAAATAATGTGCAAAAAAGTTAAGGAAAGTAAAATCTAAGTACAAAATTCTCTTTCCTTTAAAGGGAAAACTGGATCTTACTGTTTTCTAAGGTGCAGAGTATAAGGTTTTCCATCAATTGAAAGGATATAAGTCACCTAAAATAAATCAAATCAATAAAGATAATTTAGTAAATCAGAAGTACATAAAGTAAAAAAGTATTTTTTATCAGTCAATCAAAATGACTGATTCAACAGATTTAAAAATAACATATTTCTTAGTATTTATTATATTAACCAGTCAGAATTTAGTAGCAATAAATTAAGGACATTGTGATTAAAGTGTAGAAATGACTTTTGGAAAACAAAATGGAATAAATTTCAGAAAAATATAAAATTTTAGCATGATCGATATTATAGTAATTGCTTATATCTAGAAATATATGAATTTTAAGTTAAAATAAATGAAACAGGACTGCAGGCTCACATTACACATCAACTACGGTGAACCAATAAAACATGTATACTCAGAAACATTTAGCAACTCTTAAAACAAAAATCTATGAGGAAAGAAAACCTGAGAGACTGTGCAAACAAGAAGCCAGTGAAGAATGGCACAGCTCCAGGGATAAGAGTCCTAAACTACTAGAAATTGAGTAATAGCAATCTTCATCATCCTAAAGCGATGCATTAGTATTCAGGAACAGAAGTAAGGATGGAATTTGACTAACTGGACCATTTCCAAAAATGCAGACAGACATCTTTCCTAGAAATGCTGCAATTTTCAAAAGAAATCTTCAATGTGAAGCTGGAACAGAATCTGTAAACTTGGTAAAAAAAAAAAAAAAGCTGGACAATGCAGCTTATAACAGGAAACACCTTGGAAATAGGAGCACTTGAACTAAGCTATAAATAACCCATACCTGAAGAAAATCTTATCCCATCACTTCCCTAAAAGTAATATAAGTATCTTTTGTCAGGTTTTCATTACTGCAGCAAACACCTGAGATGATCAGTTTAAGAAAAAGAAAGGTTTATTTTGACTCACAGTTTTAGAGATTTCAGTTTATGGTAGGTTGGCTCATTGCTTTTAGGGTTGTGTCAAGGAAGAACATCATGAGTGAGGTAAAGGATGTTGCTCACCCATGTCAGCCAGGAAGTAAATTGAAAAACAGGAAATAGCCCTTTCCAATATCCCCTCCAAGGACACATACCTAATGACCTAACTTAGGCCCCACCTAGTTAAAGGTTTAAAGGTTCCAACACTTCCTAATAGAGTCAAAGGCTGGGAACCAACAGTTTAACACATGGTAGTTCAGGGGGTATTACAAATCTAACCATTGCAGTAAGCTATCATTGCAGATCTAATGCATAATTCCAAACTGAATGCAAAACACAGAATGTGATGCTGTATTGAGTACAATGGCAAGTATACACACACACACACACACACACACACACACACACACACTTAAAAAAAAACAAAGAAAGAGAGAAAAACACACAACTGTTTAAACTCTGAAGAATGTATACACCAAGGAAAAAAAAAGCAAATCTAACAAATTGAAGAAATAACTCCTGAAAAAACAGCAAAATATGATCTTGGTGTAAGTGTAGCTAATGCTATCTAATATTCTTTAAAAAGTAATATTGAGTATTACATTCAAAGAATAGTTAAAAAGTAAGAGTGAGTATTACATTCAAAGAATAGGAGTGATAAGATGTAATACAATTTTATTTCTAGAACTTTCTAACATTTAATGAGTGCTTGTCATATTTATAGTATCATCCCAAGCACTATAGATATTTTTAAAACGTTTTATCCTCAAAATCCCCATAATTTTCACCCTCAGAGATATATATAAGTAACTCTCGTAAGATGACACATTTGACTATTAGGACTTGATAGACCATGTGCTTGACCACTGTATTTCACTGCTAGCTTATGAAGAATACCAGATAGTCTTACTGAGTGAAGAAGAGACAATTATGGAAATGAACCAACTACAGATCAAAAGAACAAAAACAGTGTTTTTAATTTTTAAGTAAAATATTATCCTAAATAATAGACTGGATATATTTTAGGAATAAATTTATAATACTGACTATCAAAGCTAAGAAAGTTTCTGGAAATTAAATACAAAGTTATGTAAAATATAAATGAATTACTCCCAATTAAAAGACATTGGTGGACTAGATAAATTTAAAAAAAAATAAACTATATACTATCTACATGAGATTCATTTTAGATCTAGTGACATTCACAGGCTAAAAATGAAAGTCTGAAAAAAGATATCCCATAAATATGGGAACTTAAAGATAACAGGAGTTCTTGAAAACTTCTAAAGATACAGGAGTGTTCACACTTTGACTTTAGGTCAAAAACTGTCACAAGAGACAAAGAAGGACATTATATAACACAAAGAGAACAATTTACCTACATAATAATTATAAGTTTGACAAACAGTACAGCTTCCTAATATCTGAAGAAAACTGACAACTAAGAGATGAATAACAACAGTACAGTAGGTAAAGATATTCTTAACTTTCAGGTATGGATAAACACCCATAAAGATTAATAAGGGAACAGAGATATTGAAGAGCAATATAAACCAATTTAACTTACAGATACATTCAGAGTTCTCCACCTGATAAAAATAGAATACTATCTTTTCAAGAACACATGGAGCCAGGTTTGGTGGAGCACTCTTGAAATCCCAGAGTCTGAGAAGGTTGAGGCAGGAGGAGGAGGAGGGAAAGTTCAAAGCCAGCCTCAGCAACTTAGCAAGGCCCTAAGCAACTTACCAAGACCCTGTCTCAAAATATAAATAAATAAATAAATAAATAAATAGATAAATAAATAAATTAATAAATAAATAGGGCTGGAGATGTGGCTCAGTGGGTAAATTCAATCCCTGAGTTCAATCCCTGTGTGTGTGTGCGCACACACACACACACACACACACACACACACACTCTCACACAAAGAACATATGGAACATCCAAGACAGAGTAAAAACAAATAGACCAGAAAACTATCTTTAAAAAATTACAAGAATATTGAAATCATATAACGCAGTTTTTCCCTTCCTTATGGATTGAAGTTAATATCAATCCAGCAGAAAGTAAGAAAATCTATAACTATGAAAATTCAACAAATTATTTTTAATTTTATTTTTAATAGAGTATCGTAATTATACAAAGTAATTGGATTCCTTTTAACAAAATCATATATACAAGGATTTTGATTTCAAGCTCTTTCTTCTTTTCTTCCCTTCCTCATTTTCCTTCTTCAACTCTATTAAACTTCCTGTCTTCTATACATGAAAGTGACATTCTCTTAAACAATTTATTTCTTAAACAACTAATGGATCAGATAAAACAAGCAAGAATTTAGAAAATATCTGCAGATAAATGAAAAGAAAAATACAACATACCAACATGTATAAGACGGAATGAAAGCAGTAATAAAAGGGAAGTTTATAGCAGGGAATGTTTACATTAAAAAACCCAACTTTACAACTCAAGAAAATCCAAAAGAAAATCAAAACAAAAAATTTTAAAAATCAAGAGATATTTTCTATCAATAAAATTGATAAATTCTTTGCTTGAAAGAAAACTACAAAAAAACACCAACTATTAAAATGAAAACAGGAATAAGAAAGGGAACACTACAACCGATACCACAGAAATCAAAAGGATTATAAAAAATATTATGAATAATCATATTTTCAAAAATAGAATAACAAAGGACAAATGGAAAATTGGATAGAAACATTGAAACTATCATGAGTACTTCATAAAAGTTTTTAAAAATGTGAACAGCCCCAAATTTAATAAGAGAATTGAAGACATAATTTTTTAAAAAAATCTCTCCCCCAAAATAAAAAATTCCCAAGACTAGGTGGCTAAATTATAAATTTCCACCAAAAATGTAAAAAGAATTAAACCAAACATCTTCAAATTCTTCCAAACAACAAAAGAAAACACTCCCAACTGAATCTAGGAGGCAGTGACACCAAAACCAAAGAGAGATTCAAAGCAAAAATAAATTGACAATTATTTCTAATGAAAATTGACATAAAAATCCTCAACAAAATTCTAGCAAATCAAATTCAAGAGCACTTTAAAAATATTATAGAATGAATAAGATGAATTTATTCCTGGAAAGTAAGAATAGTTCAACATATGAAAATCAATCAGTGTCATACATCACCCTAACAGAATGAAGGATAAAAACTACAGGATCATCTATCACCATTCACTCCTGCTGCCGTAACAAGACATCTCTGCATCCAGGATGACACCTTGTTGCTACATTCTCTGGGGATCCCTGCTATATCCCCATATGGAGGAAGGGAGGAAAGGGAATAGAAGGGCTGACTCTCTCAGTCAAGCCCTTTTATAAGAGTACTTACTCCCATTCATGAGGGCAGAATCTAAATAAATCAGTCACAATTACATATCAGGGTTCATATAACACAATATAATACTGTTGCTTTGGGAATTCATTTCAACATGAATTTCAGAAGGAAAAAAAAGTAGTATTCTACCCTGATGCCTCAGAATTCATGTTCTCATACACAAAAACACATTGTTTCCATCCCAATAGCTCCAGTGACTTGTTCTAGAAATAACTCCATGTCTAAAATTCAGAGAATCATGTATCATTTAAGTAAGCTGTGGGCAAGATTCAAAGGTGTGTTTCATTCTGAGACAAACTACCCTCTAATCATGAACTCATGAAATCAGACAAGTGACATGCTTCCAAAATAAAATGGCAGGCCAACTATAAGATGCCAGAGTCTCGGCTTGGCACCAGAATCACGAGCCACCACACACCTTTGTAGGTTCAAAGAGCAATTCTTTATTCACGCTCTCACACCGCCTCCACACAGGTCCAGGGGCAATCGCGTTCTGCTGTCTGCCCGCACAATTCACCTACTCCAAATCCCATTTTAATCTCACGAGAACTCAACGGGAACAAGCAGCAGGAACACCCTAATCCCAGCAATAATCTTCAACCTCCAACTTCCCTAAAACCCAGTATCTTAAACTGGCAACGCCTTAAACTCAAGGAGCCGGTTACTTCCTCAAACCTGATCAGCTCTAAACCCAGATCCGCCTTGGTCCTTGAGCAAGGTCACCTTATTAAAGCATG